ACCACCAACTCAGTAACTGTCACGCTCGATCAGCCAATCATTTCGTTCACATGTATCACATACTGGGCATCGCGTCCAAAGACGACGTTTGCTACCCTTGCAATTGCTGTCTGCGCCTCCTTTCTTACCTCGAGCAGAAACGAAGGGAAAGGACCCGATGAGAAGCCTCCTCTAGCCACCATGCGGGCAGCACGGCGCACGGGCCCCTCAAGTACCTGGAGGAAGGTGAGGACTAGGTCAAGCAAGTTGCTCTCCAAACGGGGGTGACAGGTCTTGGAGCTCGGACCAATATGAGTTAAGGCGGAGGGACAAGAGGAGGAGAAGGATGAGGAGGAGGAGGAGGAGGTCGAGGGCGAGCACGAGGAGGAGACGGATGAGCAGGGAGGAAGACGAAGGAGGACGGATGAGGGAGGAGCCAAGAGAGAGGAGGAGAGAGCGAGAATGTGAATGGTGATACTGAGGAGGAGGAAGAGGAGGACGAGGAGGAGGAAGAGGAGGGATGACCTCCAGGGACGATCCTGATCCTCACCCTCCTCATGCTCGCTCTCATTATCCTGATCCTCGCTCTCCTCTCGATGCTCAATCTGCCGATCATCACTCTGCTGATCCTCCCTCCCCTGCCCCACGCTGGCCCGATCCTCACACTGCTGCTGATCTTCCTTCTCCTCATCCTCGCTCTCCTGACCCTCATGCTCCACATCTTCACCTTCGTGCTCCACGCTCACCTGCTCCTCACCCGCGTGGCCCTCACTCTCCTGATCCTCCCCCTCGCGAGCCTCGCCCTCCAGATCCTCACGCTCATCCTCACCCGCCGCACCACCGCTTCCCGCTCATTCACTTCTCGTCCACAAACATACGCTCCTTCTTCTATGATGCCGGAGAAAAGCCCCAATCAAACTCTGATTAGGGATCCAGGGCTATAGGGTTATAGGGAGATGTGGCTATGGGGCTATAGGGCTATAGAACTATAGGGCTATAGGGCCATAGGGCTATAGGTCTATAGGGTTATAGGGGTATAGGGCCACAGGGCTATAAGTCTATAGGGCTCTAGGGCTACAGGGTGATGGGGTTAAGGGGCTCTGGGGCTATAGGGCTATGGGGCTATAGGCATATATAGAGCTATAGGGCTATAGGGCTATAGGGCAATAAGGCTACAAGGCTAGGGCTATAGGGCTGTAGGGCGATGGGGCTACAGGGGCTATAGGGCTATAGGGCCAAATGGTTATGAGTCTATAGGGCAATTGGGCTATTGGGCTATAGGACCGTAGGGCTATAGGGCTATAGAGAAATAGGGCCATGGTGATATAAGGCTATGGTGATATAGGGCTATAGCGCTATCGGCATCTAGAACTATAGGGCTATAGGGCTATAAGGCTACAAGGCTTTGAGGCTGTAGGGCGTTTGAGATACAGGGCTACATACCGTACGGCTATAGGGCTATAGAGCTATAGGGCTCGAGGGCTAAAAAACTATAAGGCTAACTATAGGGCTGTAGGGCTATTGGGCTATACGGCTATAGGACTGCAGGGCTATTGGGCTATAGGGCTATGGGGCTATAAGGTTATAAGGCTATAGGGCTATAGGGCTATTTGGCTACAAGTCTATAGGGCCATAAAACACCCGGGCACCCGGGCACCTGGGCGTCTGGGCACCCGGGCGGGCCGCGGAAATCGGCGACCCATCTGACCTAACCATATGAATCCGCTAGGACCCCTACAAGGGCAAGCTCTGATTGGGGAATGTACAGAACTCCAGATCAACCGCAGAGCGGCCGGCTTGTATATCACTACAGCTGCATATCCAACTACTCTGAACGAAAGTTACACTGAAACCGTCACGTGCAAGGAAGCTCCGCAAAGAGGGAACTATGAGGCGGCGGGAGGCACGGTGAAGTCGAGATCCTTCTTCGCTCGCAGGACCCCTCCAATACCTCCAACGACGACAACCCTGTCCCCAGGGATGAGGCCGAGAGCTCCAGGGACCCACGTCGCGAAGCAGGGAGGCACGACGCCAACGATACGTACGAGAGGTGTTCGCACGCACGGAGTCTGCCTGTGATTGGCCTACGCAGGCGCCCCAATGTCGAGGCCTGACGGGCACGCGGCCAGGCCCTGCCTGCAGTGCCAGAGTGCACACATGAACATCAACCGCCTGGAGGGCCGATCGCCCATGACCCCGAGGGGCGGTGGGCCCGAACAACTCAGACACACCGCCACCCGAGGTACAGGAAGACCGACTTCCCGGGCGGTGAATATGGACAAGTGCTGGTCTGGGAGAGGCGCTGGTTTTTACGACGTGGGCCCCTGTTAACAGGGGATATGTCGACGCCAATCCCAGGCTTTGTGAGGCTTTCGAATGGACTAGAAATTTTGGGCCCAATCCTGAGGTATCGATGGGGGTGCGTCCATCCTCGATAGAAGCGCGTCTGACTAGCCCCCTTGGGGTGTATCTCAAGGTTTCCCTCCTTTTCTGAACGGCATATTTTCGTCAAAAATAAGAGGTTTGGGGAGTCAAATCGTCTCGAGGACAAGTGCCAGTCTCGCAGAGGCGCTGGTTTGCGGGCCTCGGTCTCTCTGACACCCCGTGAAGCGCAGGGACCCTGGCTCGCCTTCGCTCAGACGTCCACTCCCCGTGCATTTTCCGATGTCGCGCGTGTACTTATTCGAAAGATGATCCAGGATGCTCCTCGATGGTCCCCGCCGAGAAAAAATCCACACGCCCGAGCGATGCCACGTCTCTGACACCCTGTGAACCGCAAGGCCCCCGCAAAGGCTCTCGGCCCCACCTTCCGCACGGATATTGGGCGCCGTGCGGCCGCTCTCCCCGCGGGCCGAAAAACGTGTCCCAGATGGGCCGCCGGATGGGCGCGCCCTGCCTAGACCGCAGGTGCGCCGGCGTCGCCGCCGCGCCCTTGCGGTCCAGGTCCTGGGGGAACGACAGGATGGCCATCGCTCGGACGTCCATTCCCCTTGTATTTGTCGATTTCGTGTTTTTCTCGCTCGATGATCGAAGAGACTCCTCGCCGAAACAAAATGCACACGTTCGAGCGATGCCAAGAGGTTGGTGGTTCGAAGATGGGGTCCTAATGGATGGGGTCCTGAAGACGAGGTGCCTCAAACAGCGTACATCCACCCTTGGGTCCCTTCCTACCCTCAGGCCCCCATGCCTCATTACCCCAACTTTGAACCACCGAGCTGCAGGGTGGTGGTCAGGGGGAAACATTGCCTTGGGATCGGCGATACATCGCCGATAGATCGGCAATATGCCGTCGATGATGAAACCGAACGTTCCAGGGCCTGGCGGGGGGCCCAGGCCCCAATTGGCGATGAAGGGCGATTGGGATTCGATGCTCCCCCCTCCCCCCCTGGGTCAGTCCCCTCCGTCATTGCCCGCTCCAACTCTGTCCCCGGACCCCCCGTCCCTGCGCCCCAGAGAGGGGAGCTCGGGGCCAGGCGGAGCGCTCAACCTTAAGCGCCCGCACCTGCGCCGTTGCCGAGACGATGCGGCGTGAGCCTGTCGATGGCCACTCGGGCCGCTCCCGAGCGCCGTCCTGGTTCCTCGAGCTGTGCCCCCAGAAGGGAGAGAACGAGAAAGAGAGAGAGAGAGAGAGAGCTGCACGAGCACAAAGCTGGATCGGCGCAAGACCCCCGCCCCTCCCTGGCGCGCTTCGCGCGACAGAGGCGGCGCTGGAGACGCGGCTCCAAGAACTCCGCGTGGATCTCCCAAAATTATGCTCATGCAGATTATTCCTTCTCCGTCTGATACGGCGAGGGCAGACAAGGAGTCGAAGGTCTGGAAGTCAAAAGAAATCCAATCGTGGACTGGCCATGGATGGCACCGCCGCCCACATCACCGAAGGTTAGAGCCTCCTTTAGCAGAACGCCCGTTAGCGAAAACTGCTGGGGCACTCCACGGGGGCGCGCGGCACCGCAGTGCACCCGGGCGGTACAAAAACAACCGCACGTATTCGGCGAAGCACACGTCGATCAGCGAAACAGACCAGGGGCTTCATCAGCACACTCGTATGCCAATGTCGAGTGAACCCGTGCAGCTTTCCTCGGTCGACTTGTCTGGGTGGGCCTTCTCTCAATGAGTCATCCAGGGCCTGAAGCCTCCTGGGCACAGGGTCCCCCCCAACAGAGCCCAAAAGGGCTCCCAAGAGAGCCCCCCAAAGGGCTCCAAAGCGTCAGCGTCGTCGTCGTCGTCGCCGCCGCCGCCGTCCCACACAGGATCGGCGGCACCCGCCGTAAGGCCTTCCCATAATCCAGGCTCTGATGCCTCCTGGGCACACTCCCTGACAAGCGTCCCCGCAGCTCCTTTCGAGCTGCGCCAGGCCCTGGCCTGACGGGAAGGCCCTCCGCCACGAGGCGCGTCGCCGCCGCCGCCGCCGTCCCCTTTCAGGGTCGACGGCGCCCGCCTAAGAGCGCATGCTCTAATTCGCGGCCATAACGAGCGGTATTGGGGGAAGGGGGAAACGGGGGGGCATAACGGTGCTGGACGCACTGCGGCAGTGCCGGGACGCACTGAAGGGGGGGAACGTTCAGTTATGGAGGGGGAGGGGGGGAGGGTACGTAGGGGGCATTACGCGCGTCATTGCCCAGAGGGTAATTAAACAAAAACCTCCTCCTGGGAGCACTCCTTGACGAAGGCCCCCGCCGCTCCTCTCGAGCCGCCCCGGGCCGTGGCCTGACGCAAAGGCCCTCCGCCCCGAGGCGCCGCCGACCCCGGGGCGCGGGGACAGCGCCCGCCTGCCTGCCGTCCACTGGCTGGGGTAGGCGCGGAGGGACCCCCCCGAGCTCCGAGGCCCTTCCGAAGGCCCTCCGCAGAGCCTGCGAGGCGCCTCAGAGGCGCCTCCGAAGGGCGTCCGAGGGCCCCTCCCTCCGAATGGGCCTCCGAGGGGTTCCACGAGGGCCTCCCACTCCAAAGAGGGCCTCCGAGGCGCCTCCAGGGCCCCACGAGGGGCTCCGCCGCCGCCGGGCGTTCGGCGCCGCCCGGGGCACCGCTGCCGACCACCACGACCTCCTCGGCGTCGCGCAGGGAGGCGAGCGGGACGCGCCCCTCGCGCAGGTCGAGGCCTGCCGCCGCCGCGGGCGGGTCGCGAGGAGCAGGGTCGGCCAGCGCGGAAGGCTACCAAGAGGTCCTCCCGCCGCCGGTCTCTCTTCTTGGAGCTTCCCCCTCGAGTGCTGCGGGAAGCGCCGCTGGGCCAAGGTGCGCCCAGGACTTCCCGGGAGGCCCCGACGGTCTCCAGCGCACCTCTCACGAGGCCAGGGGCCGCTGGAGGCACCTCGGGCCAAGGACACCTTCAGGACCACCGGATTATTCTTTCATTATTATTTGCGGTGACGCGCGTGATCGGCACCGCCCCTCCCTTCCCCCCGCACCCTGGATTCGCGCCAGCGCCGTCAGGAAATTAAACATTCCCAGGTATTCTCAGACGGCGCTTGCGCGAAGCGTGACGTGACCAGCCCTCTCCCCTTTCCGTGCCAACGCCCAGGACCACATACCAGCTGGTATGTGGTTGCGGTCGCGTGTACCCCCCCTTAAGACGTTGCCAGGACGAGGATAAATTCGGGTGAGGGTAAACCGAGAATCTCTGAGATCCGGCGGCTCTGGAGGATGTCTCGGGCGACGCTCTGGAACGGATTTATCTTCGTCCTAGCCCCGTCCGACCCCTCCCCCCTCCATCATGCCCGCTATCGCCAGGGTGTAACAAAAACAACTGTTTTTTTCGACGGCAACGGGGGGCCTGGCACCCAGAGTCGCCGAAGGCCGTCTTGGGGCCACCGAGGGCAAAATCGGTCAGCAGCGAGTCGGGAAATCGGATCGGATCGTCGGATCGGGAAGCATCGGCAAGGTGCAAGGTGTCGAAATCGAGCGAGCCTTACCCTGGGAAGCCCGAGAGGTGCCTGATACAGCGCGGTGATACGTTGGCTTCGAAGCGAGGCGCGCGCATCCCCGAAAGCAAGCGTTCTACCTGAGAGGTCCCGCCAAGACCGGTACGAACGATCCCGTGCCACACCCCAGGTCGGGCTTAGTTTGAGAGGCCCGAGTGGTCATCTGGCTACGACGTGTCGCCCCGAAAAAAAATATCCCAGTGCGACCCTACCTAGGAGTTGGAGCCCCTAGGGAAGCAGCATTAGTAGTAACAGTAAAGCTAAGCTAAAGCTAAAATACAGCTGAGCTACAGCTAAGCTAAAGCTAAGCTAAAGCTAAGCTAACGCTAAGCTAAAGCTAAGCTAAAGCTAAGCTAAAGCTAAGCTAAAGCTAAGCTAAAGCTAAGCTACATCTAAGCGAAAGCTGAGCTACAGATGAGCTACAGCTAAGCTAAAGCTAAGCTAAAGCTGAGCTAAAGCTAAGCTAAAGCTAAAGCTAAAGCTAAAGCTAAAACTAAGCTGAAGCTCAGCTACAGCTAAGCTAAAGCTAAGATAACGCTAAGTCTGAAAGCGTATGGTAGATGCTGATGATAAACCTGTTTATATCATCCACGGCCCCGCGCGGGCCACGAGCTATCTGCGGGGGCGCCAGGCGCCCAGTACAACAAGCTCTAAAGGCCGGCCTTGCGGGCCGAGACGGGCAGCGGGCAGCGGGCAGCGGGCGAGAGGGCAGAGGCAGGTGCACTCAGAGGGGGGAGTAGACGAGGTACTGGTAAGAGAGGGTCAGGGCTAGGCGGGCTCCAGAGGGGTCCTCGGGTACACCTCCAGGGAATCTCAGACTCATTATTTTTCTTTTGTAGCTCTGACCATCTCAGTCATCCTACAAGTATTCTTCTCGAACTCCTGCGGCCGAACGTTCACGTCGTAGTCGATCAGCTTCACCTCGATCGGGTTTAGCAACTGACTTCCGTGCGGCCCTCTGTGATCTCTTCTTCTCCTTTATCTTCGCTGCAGCCTGATCCTGCTGGATCGTGATCTGATTCGTCCTCAAGTAATGTCGGAAATAGTCCAGATCAACTCCCTCTTTCGTAAGAATATCCGCCAGATTCTGTAGTCCATCCACCCAGCGTAGTGTCGTGTTTGGTTGCCTCAAAGCCTCCTTCAATAACGCTCCTTCTATTGCCATCCGCTTGTCTCGGCTAAGGCCTGATCCTTCCTTCGTCAAATAATCATGCACCGACTTGGCATCAGTCAAGAAAACTCTGCTTCTTCTCGCCACGATCTTCTGCCAATTCTTCAATTCGATCTTCGGATTGGACACCTCCTCAAGTAAAACACACAGCCATTCACCAGCCTCCAGTGAATCTGCAAGATGTGAGGCTTCAGCTGCAAGTGTGCTCCGGCAAACTCTCTGTGTCGACTTAGAACTGTAATCCATCATAGCTGCGGTCGCCAGCTTCCCCGACAACACGTCGTGGTCCACTATGAAGAGAAAATGACCACCGATGCTCTTGTATCTCGCGATCTCGTCACTCTCGGGGTTGCCGTTCGCGTGTCCTGAATCACATTCAATCAAGACCGTAGCTCGACTGAGGTCGATACCTTTCGGAAACTTCTGCATGTAGTCGGCGCCCCTCTTGCCGTCGTTGATGGCCCTGTTGACCTTCACCAGGTCGGCGATGCACGGCGCTACCATGGCTCGTTGAGCTTGTCCCGCTTGAAAGGCTAGATCTGCTCGAAGCTGCCTCGACAACCAAGATATCTCTCCCGTAGCCTTCCGTAGCCGTGTCACTTCGTCGTCGGTCAGCGGGCTCGTCAGCTCCTTCTTCCGTTCTCGAGGGATCGGAACCGTCTTCATGTTCAGCGAGTAGCCCTTCATCGTTACTCCAACATCGCCGTTCGGTGAACGTTGTATCTCACGTCCTCTGAAAACAAAATCCTCTTTGAGCCATTTCGAGAAATTCAGCTTCTTTCTCGTGCATCTGAAGGCCGTATCCTCGTATTTCTTTTAAACTCCAGCCAGCAAATCATCCACGTGAGTGCATAGAATACCAATCAGAGCGCCTGCTCTGTCGCGTAAGTAAAATAAAGCTGGTTCCAAAACAGACTGAACCCATCCGTCCTTCTCCAATACTTCGCAGAAAGCCAACCAAAATAAACGAGCAGCCTCAGCAAACCCATATATCGCCTTCTTGACCCTCAACAGTTGTCTCGGATGTAGTCCCTTTAAACCTCCACGCGGCTGGCTGATGTAGATCTCGCGTCCTATACCTCGACCTGAGAAATAGGCGTTCTTGATGTCTCCGCAGCTCATCACCATGCCCATACTGGCGATCACGAGCAGCACCATTGCCTCCGCCAACTTCGATGCTGCTGGCGCATCTCTCCGATACTCGCCGAGGCTCTTGTCCTTGAAGCCCTGGACCACCATCCTCGACTTCGCCTCGAACTCGGCGTCCAGAACGCCCTCACTCTTGTTGGTTCTCACCCACTTGGCCGGTATGATCAGGTCGCGCTTGGTCTCCCAGATCTGCTCACTCTCGCCGAGGCTCAGCGTGTCGCAAGCATCCAGATCTTGCCAGGCCTTCCACTCCTTCTCATCCGAACCTCCAGGTCCGATAACTAACTGTCGCTTTGCCTCGTCAAGCTCCTTCAAGTATAACTCTTTTCTCCCCTTCTTCGCCACTGTCGAGCCAGCCTCATAGGAGTGCTCGAACTCGTTACGCTCGACGCCAAAGACGAAAACCTCCTTGCTGACCTCGTGCTCGACGTAGAAGGACTGGTTGACGTCATATGCCAGGTAGGCCTCGTCGATCATAGAGTCCATATCCTCGTAGACCTGACAGGCGTCGTCCGTCTTGATCGACTCGGGGACGTCATCCAGCAACTTCTGTCTCTTCGCCTCCCGCTCTGCAGCTTCCTCCGCTGGCCGACTCTCCTTATCTCTACTGGCAGATCCTTCCGCCGGGCGAGGCGGGAACGATGCTGCAGGAGTATGGAAATCATCAAGATCAGGATCCCACTCGTCGCCCATCGGTACTTGGTTGGCTCGTACAGCCTCGTTGACAAAGTCCTTCACCGCGTCCTCCATCGGGTCCTCCGCTTGTGTCGCTCCTCGTGGCTCGACTGGCGGCGGTGGTCCCTGCTGCATCATCGGGAGTTCCTCCTGGTAGGGGTCTTCCGTTACCTCCTCCGTGGGCGGCTCCTCTTCTTGGACCAGTGGCTCGGCAGGTGCTTCACGCTCTGCCGGCTGCGGCACCTCTGGGGGCGGTGCCTCTGGCGGTGGCTGAGCCGCCGCCGGTTCTGGTCGAACTGGTCCTCCATCTTCCCGAAACTCCGGGGGAAAAGGCTGTCGTCGTAGATCGATAAATCCACTGCCTCCAGCCGTCCCGGTGGTGTCTATCAAGTCTGCCTCCTGCGCCGTCACCAGCCAGGCTCGGACCTCCTCGTCGGACGCCCTGGCAAGGTGCTCAGGAGCGCAGGCGATCGTGATCCCGCGGCGCACGATCCAGATCGTGTGCTTGCCCTCGTGACCTATCACGCGTGCGACTCCTCCAGTTGATGACGCTCTCGGGCCGCTTGCCCTGCTCCTTCTGGTCGTAGTAGAAAACCCAGTCGCCCACGTTGAAAGGTCCGCGTTCTGGCCGAACTTGTCGAAGCTCAGCCCTCTTGATCGCGTCCTCGTTCGCGATCTTCGCGTGGGCCTCCCGCGCCGCCTGTCGCAGCGCGCACTTCCTGGCAAACTTCGATGTCGGGGTAGCCGATGCCGCAATGGCACCGATCCTCTCAACCTCGCCGTCGTCCATGAGGTCCGCCAGGAGGCGAATATCTCTTCCCAGCACCCACTGCGCCGGTGAGAATCCAGACCTCCTGCTCAGCGAGTTCTTCGCCTGGTTGATCTCCATCACGGCCTTCAGGACGTCCTCGCGTCCAGCGACCTGCTTCGCCCAGACGACTCTCCTCCACATGGCTTGCCAGATCTCCATGACGCTCGACCTTGGCGATATGCCATGCTGCCGCCTTGGCGGCCGAATCGAATCTGCACCCACGACTCGACATATGCTCAGAAAAACTACCCAGGAAGCCCTTGGCCCTGTCGACGATGACTCCAACCTCAGGCTCACCAGCCCAAGATGCCCAGCACAACTCGTAAGTCTCCAGCACCGTGGTCGAGCCCGTCATCTTGTGAACTTCGCCGAGTA